GATCTCTCTCTTTATGTCCATCAGTTTTTGCCTTACATATTTAGGGGCTCTTTTGTTGTGTGTGTGCATGCTTATGATAGATATATCTGCTTGTTAGATTTATCCCTTTACCATTATGAAATGCCCTTGTCTCTTTTTACAGCCATTAGTTTAAAGTCTATTTTGTCTGATATAAGTATTGCTACTCCATTTTTTTAATATCCATTTGCTTAAAACATATTTTTCCATCTCTTTATTTACAATCTGTATGTATCTTTCAATTTGAAGTGAGTCTCTTGTAGGCAGCATATATATGGGTCTTGGTTTTTTATTCATTCAGCCTCCTTGTCTTTTTATTGGAGCATTTAGTCCATTTACATTTAAAGTAATTATTGCCTGGTGTGTAGTTATTGGATTTTCAATGTTTTTTCATTGTTTTTGTAGTTCTTCTATGTTTTTTAAATTCTCTTTCTTCTCTTGTATGTTAACAGCTTTCTATAGTGTCATGTTTGGATTCTTTTCTCTTATTTAGTAATACGTCAGATTTTTGGTTGTGGTTACCATGTGCTTCACATATACCAAGCTATGTTTATGGCAGTTTATTTTAAGTTGATGGTCATTTAAGTTTGAACACATTCTAAAATCACTACAATTTATAGTCATCTCTTCTATGTTAATTTTGTAATAATTTTTTACTTCTTTTGTGTGTGTGTTGTGCGTATCCCTTAATTTATTACACATGACCTTCCAACTTTTACCTTTTAACCTTTGTACTATCTCTATCATCAGTTTATCCACTGCTTTTACTAAGTGTTTACCTTTGTTAGTGAGAATTTCTTTCCTATTTTCTTATTCATATATGTGATCCTTTCTTTTCCCTTACAGAAATCCCTTTAACACTTCTAGTAATACTGGGTTAATGGTGGTGAACTCCTTTAGCTTTTTCTTGCCTGGGAAAATCTTTCTCTCTCCTTTGATTCTAAATGATAGCCTTGCTGGGTAGAATAGTGTTGGCTGTGTGTCGCTCTTTTTATACTTTTGAATATTTTATGCCACTCCCTTCTGGCCTGGAAAGTTCTCTTTAAAAGTCATCTAATAGTCTAATGGGAGATCCCTTGTACTAACTAATTGCTTTTCTTTTACTACTTTTAAGATTTTTCTTTATCTTTAACTTTGGTAGTTTATTATGATGTGTCTTGGTGTGGGTCTCTTTGGGTTTATCTTGTTTGGGACCTTATGAACTTCCTGGATTAATATGTCTAGTTCCTTTGTCAGTTAGAAAAGTTTTCAGTCATTATTTCTTCAAATAGGTTTTCGAACCCTTGCTCTGTCTTGTCTTTCTGGTATCCCTATGATGCAAATGTTGGTATCTTTGATGTTGGGACTGTTTAGCAGGAAGTTCCGAGCATGCCTTTAGCCAGCCACTGCTTGTTTGGAATTTGTGGACCTTTGATGAATTTTAAGAAAATCCACACTTTGGACTAGTGGAGAAAAGCTGCTGGAAGCTGCTTAAGCTGGGTGTACTAATTGGATTGGGCAGGTCTCATGGAATCTTGGGGGTGGGGGTACAGTGTTAGAGACTTTAATAGCTCATATTTGGCACCCACTTGAGCATGTTGGCTGGTTCAGAGGAGCACTCTACAAAGGAGCAACTGAGCCTGCCATTGCTGCTGTTCTGGGAGAGAGCTGTCCTGACCCTTGTTCCCTTAGACTTCCCCCTGAAGTTTGTCAATTCACTGCTCCCCATATGTCTCTGACTCTTTTCAAGCTGATGCTTCTGCACTGAACCTCAGAGCAAGTGAGTTTGTGAGGGAGCTAGTCAGTGTGTAGGCCCCTCAACAAGAATGCCTGGGACTCCAGCGGGCTTCTGTCTTATTGGATGCAATCCCCACTGGTTTTCACAGGCAGATATTATAGGAATTCCTCTTACTGGCACTGGTGCCCCAGGCTGGGGAGTCAGGTGTGGGGTGGGACCAGCTGCTCCTCAGGGGGTACCTCCATAGCTGAGATATCCCTCCCAGTTCTTAATAACCACACCGTAGGTGTGGGAACTTTCTGTTCCTCATCTATACCCCTCCTACCAGTCTCCTTGTGCCTACTTTTTTATATTCTTAATTGTAGGACTCTATTCAAGTAGTCTTCAGGTGGTTCTCAATGATAGTTGCTGCCTGATTTAGTTGTAATTTTGATGTGGTCATGGGCGAATGTGTTGATCTCTTTCCTTTTGATGGGCTGACTTTCTTTAGCACTTTGGGTTCCTTTCTTTATTTTTTGTGTATATTTGTAGGTGTTTGTTTATGGTTACCATGAGATTCATATATATCCAGCTATACCTATAGCAGACTATTTTAGCTGATAGGTGTTTTAAGTAAAATGCATTCTTAAAGAACTATATTTTTAATCCCCCCTTCCCCTCTTTGTTTTTGATGTCATATTTTATATCTTTGTTTTCTATATCCTATTACTATTTATGGTAGTTACAATTTTGCTACTTTTATCTTTTAATCTTCGTATTATCTTTTTATCTTCTTAAGTGATTGATTCACTGTGTTTATTATATATTTGCTTTTACCAGTAAGATTTTTTCTTTCCTGTATTATTCTAATTACAGCCTTGTCTTTTTTGCATAAAGAAGAATCTTTATAATTTCTTGTAAAACTGGTATAGTGGTGGTGATCTCCTTTAGTTTTGTTTGTTTGGGAAACTATCTCTCCTTCAAGTCTGAATAATAACCTTGGTGTTTATAGTATTCTAGGTTTCAGGGTTCTTTCTTTCAACTCTTTAAATATTTCCTGCCACTTCCCTCTGGCCTGTAAAGTTGCTGCTGAGAAATCAGCTGACAGCTTTATGGGGTTTTCCTTATATGTGAGTTGTTTCTGTCTCGATATCTTCAAGACTGTCTCTATATCCTTAACTTTTGCTTTTTTTTTTTTTTTTTTACACTATGTCTTAGTGTGGGCCTTATGGGTTCATCTTGTTTGGAACTCTTTGTGCTTTATGGACCTGGATGTCTGTTAATACTATCAAGACTTCTGAAACATGAACATAATATAATTTTTTACTTTAGGCCTTTTTTCACTTTTTCAGCAATGTTTTCTGGTTTTCAATGTATGAATCTTTCAGATCTGTTGCCTAATTTATGATTAAGTGTTTCATATTTTTATCCATTATAAATGGGATTTTTAAATTTCTATTTCAGATTGTTGTGAGTATAGAAATAAAATTGATTTTCATTGAATTTTGTATATTGATCTCATATTCTGCACTTTGTTAAACTAACTTATTAGTTCCAGTAGCTCTTTTGTAGATTTTCATCATGGATTACCATGTCTATGAAAAAAGATAATTTAAAACTTCTTTTCCAATCTTGATAACTTTTATTTTACTTGCCTGACAATACTGGCTAGAATTTCCAGTACAATGCTAAGTAGACGTAGATGCGAATTATAATTTTTTTCTCTTCTGGATTGTGGGAATGACACTATTTTCTTTGAGCGATTAGCAAGAGAAGGTTTTAAAACATTTGATTTCAAATCTCAGGGCTTGTCTTAGCCCCCATGGAGCCTACTGATGAAGACATGGAGGATCTCTTATGGCTTTGTAATGACTTGATTTCACTTCTGTCTTGACACTATAGGTCTTTGTTTAGAAAGACCTATGATTTCTTTTGCAAAATTCTAATGAACCCAGTAACTACAGAAGCTATTTCTGCTCTCATTTGTCAAATTTGAAAAGTCCCTCTCTGTTCATGTGAGCATAAAGAGCCTGTTGTCATTCTCTATCCTACTACCATCATCATTTACTTACTGAGTTCATACTTGTGCTGGGTGTAGAGGATATAAAGAGACTATGTATAAAAGTAAACATACAAACAAATCCAGGTAACATACAAACTAAATGGTTCAAACACTACTGTGTACAAGCCTGGCACAATAGGGAGCAGCAGAAGCCAACATAGATATCAGTGTTCCATCATAAGGCACCAGGAGCTGAGGCAGTAGGAAGCAACCCAAAAGGGAGTGCTCTGCTAGAGTAGAAAACTAGGGAACTTATGAGCAAAAATAAGTCACCTTCAGGGCACTCCCAGAAATATTTTAAGGATTTCACAGAGACTGACTTCCTTTAGCTAGAGGAACACAAAGTTTTAGGTTTCAATAAGTGATGTAATTCCGTTAATATCTACAAGCTAGTGAAAAGAAGTCTGAAGAAATTCAAGATATAAACAACATATGTGAGTGTATATTTTATACAACTATGAGGCTATCTTGTATATGTTGTTAAGAAATGTGATTTTAAACATAACATACTGATTTGCATATTATAAACATCTCATGTCAATAATATTTACCCATAATATCACTAGTATCTACACCTCCAATCATACCTTCACTCCCTACTCTTTCTGCATGAGTTTTAAAATTGCTTACTCCACTATCTTTAGATTTACAATTGTTACCATGGTAAATATTATTGACTTTTATTTGTAAATTTAATTATCTAACTTCACAGTGTTTGATATCTAAAATAACTACAGAAATGTTTGTGTATTCTATTTTAATACAAAACATCAGAAATTTGGGATACTTAGCTACTTCTATGAAATCTAATTACTTAGAAGAAGGAAAACTTGTGGCCTCAGTTAGAATAGTTTTAGAAAATGGCCAAAGGCACAAGGTTTCCAAAATAAGAAAGCATTCAATTATTGATATTGACAAATCGGGTTCATTATTTACAAGGACACCCTCCTCAAAACAAAAGAGAGTGACTCTTGGATTAATAGGACATGATCTGCATGGTTTTAACTAAACACTGAAACAATGGATATGAGTAAATGGGTCTATGACAATAAATTTTGGAAATATTTTTATAATTTTAATTAAAATTATCAGGTTGCACTTCCATAACAAAACAAAAATTTGCATGCATGCTGAATGTGTTTTAAAAAACACATTACTGAGCATAGATGTATGGATTTAACTCAAGCATTATAACTTAAAATGCCTAACCTTTATAGAACTTACTCTGATAAGAAGTACGGATCCGTTTCGTTAAATCAGGATAAAAGTTAGACAGGCCACGCATGCAAAAGTTGTCTTTGGAACATGCCAGAACACCAGCATCAGCAGCAGGCAGAGGAAAGAGAAAAAAAATAGTCTAAAGTGAAAGGAAGTGATATCATACCAGAATCTAGAACAGCCAAGATGAAGAAATTGCCGCAAGTTTAGGTAATCAAATTAGAGAAGATATTAAAAAATCAAATTAGAGAGAAGATACTAAAATAAATAAGCCAATTAGAAAGTAAAAGGTGATAGATGAATGATGAGAATGCTGTAGTAATTTCATTTAATCAAATTTAAAAATAGATGGCATATTTCTTATACGTTTACATAGTAAACTTATATGGCTTTCAAATACTATGTATAAGTATCTCATAAATATAAAAAATGGTTGTCTTTAATTTTCAGTATTAAAAGGAAAGCTTATGGATATTAATCTTTAATGTTTTAATAACAAAGCAAATACTCATTTTTATACATTAAGTATGAAATTTATGACTTAATCATGGTTTTTCCTGATTTTAACGTCATCAATTCTAAGCTCTAATCATAAATGTTGAGGCTCAACGAGTTTAAATGAAATAACATCTGTATCACCTTTGTCAAAATATATACTTTGTTATCCCATTGTGTATATCCAGCAAATGATTTGGATGCTGTCATAGGATCCAAAGCTTTTCTAATTCAATCGGTGCTTTTAGTATGCAAAGAGTGCCTACTACCCCTTAACATCTTCCTACCATAGAGTCCACAAACTTTCAAAAATCAACCTTCTCTTTCCAAACCATGAGAGAATCTTATGGTACATGCATGAATGATTTCTTATTCTGTCTTCCTTTCAAAAGCCATTAGTAATTGAGGCAGAACCTGTAGAATTTGAAATTTCCAGCACTCCGAAGATATTGCTAAAAGTTGTGATTCCTAACAAAACATAAAGGATCAAAACTAACAATTTGGAAAGGGTTGAGGTTTACCAAAGAAAAATAAAGAGGGAGAATTTCAGTATATCAAGTAATTTTTCATTAGCCCAAAAGAAAACTTGTCACATTCAGATGTTAAATTTTGCACACCTGCTATTTAAAAAAATAATATCTACCATTATGTACTCTTTTTATTTTAAAATATTCTTTCATAGGTATATTTAGTAAAGTCTTTTCAATATTCAATTGATTAACAAAATTTTTTAAAAATGTCTAAAATTGAAATGAGCTGTATATTTTCTGTCCACTGACATAATACTGTATAGATGTATTTTTACTTTTTAGCCCAAGCAATTTTTACCTAAATTTTTAAACTATGTCAGTAAACAGAAAATATACAAAATTTTGACAATGTTTTCAAAGCCAACTATTTGGATATATGTTGCAATTTCAGGAAAACTTTGGATGATTTGACATATCAAAGTTTGGCATTATGTAGAAAGTATTTCTTATATCCTAATTAACCATATATATTTTCCTTTTATAGTTAAATAAATCAACTTATTGATCCTGTCAAGAAAAACGTCATCTTTCATAGCATTATTAAATGTTAAATAACGTTAAGTGCATTTGTTAAAATATCTCCTAGAAAGTCACCGTTCGACAAGGAAAGATGACAGGTAAAATATGAGGTTAATTTAAATGAATGAATACTTTTAAAATATAACTTTTAACTGAAAATTATATTTTTAAAGGGACCAAATATACTAGAAGAAAATTATCCTCTTTAACACAACCATTGCAAGCAGTTTTTTTCAACTAGAGAGCCTGATTTTGATAGCGTTTTTATATTTAATAGTTTATTTTCTGTTATCTCCTAGGAATTCAATTTGATATTAAATGCCTTGTTTACCCTATGTTTCTGCCCAGTTTTACTTACATAGTATTGTGAACTATGCTCACTTTAGATTGCCATGCATTTTAATAGCATTACAGAAGACAGACAAAAAAATCTAAAGGTAAGAAAACAGATGAACTAATTAAATTCATAACCATCTTGTTTTATCTCCTACCTGCAATGAACTGCTTGTTTTTTCGAGGAGACCGTGGTTGTCGTTGGTATATGTCACTTGATCTATATAGGTCAATGGTCCCCATGCTTAATAGTACTGTCTTCTGTATAAAATCCACCACAGCCAACCCATTGCAGTTCCCAAATGCAACTCTGAGAGAAAAAAAAATATGCAACTAGAATGTATCATACTAATCATTACTATTTTTTATCTTTGAATTAAAAATAAGATTACTGGAAAGTAATGCTGTAGGGTTTGGATGTCGGGTAGTGATTAAAGTTAGGAAGGACATTTTGCCTTTACACAAGATAGGTTGATCTTGTATAATAGCCATGACCACTGAAAATAACAGGAATGACCTGCAATCACATTTTATCATCAATTTAAAAATGTAAGTAGTGATTACCTAATTTGCTCTTCAATTTGGTCTTATATTTTTACAAAAGAATCACACATCTTTTTTGCTTTGTAAAGGAGAAATAGGTCAAGAAATGTCACACTTTTAAAAGCTACAGGTGCTTAGGTGCTTTTTCAAATAAAATTATAGTTATTAGGCTTCAAATTAGTTCTCTTAAAGAGTATTTTAACACAAATATTACATAAAAATTCATATATTTAAAGTTTTGATAGTGTAGTAGATATAAACCAACTATAACTTTCATTTATAAAAATGCTTCACTTTTTAAATTTTGTCCAATTTATTAAAGGACAAGGGCCATTTGATTAATTTCATAACTAAATCTCCTGAAAAATTAAAACCACTCTTCTAAACAGTAATTTTGGTCACCTCAACCATACAATAATTTTTTTTTTCTTCATTTACAACATTTCTTCTAGCTGAACAATTGTAGATCTGCTTTTTGCTTCCAAAGTGAAATATACATTAGCTGTATGAGTGCTGTTTTGTTCATTTTGTATAAGTTTTATTTCTTAGCTTGAACTTGGCTGGCAAATCATCTGCCAACTTTGAATCTAGCTCTTTCTACTACATCATACTACCTTCCTCATAAAAAATTAAAAGTTCTAGGATTCTAAATGTTTTGCTGTTTCATAGAGAGTTTTATACCATCCAGTAAGACATATTTTGGAAACTGGAAAAAGTGTTATAAAAGTCAAAAGATCCTACCTCTATCATTTTATAAGTTATGTGATTTTGAGAAAAATTAATGAACATTACCAAGCCTGTTTCTTTACTTTATAATGAGAATTATAATACCAGGTTTATCTAGTTTACAGGGCTTTTAGAAACAACAAATCATAAATTTGTTATTAATATACTTTGAAAGTTTTCCACACAAAAGTAGAATTAATATTGTTATAAGTAAATGCAATATTATACATATTACATATTATAACAAGTTAATATCTTTAAACTTTTCATGTTAAAATAGTTATGTCTTCTCGAACAATACACTTGAAGACTATATAATATTTTATTAACCAATGTCACCCCAATCTATTAAAAATAAATCTCTATATTTAGTCACTTCTGCTTACGAGTGTGATAGAGTTCTCAAATGTAGTAGTGATAGGAAAAAATTAGGCAACTAGAATATATGACAACAAAACTAATTATTTTTGTCTTTGAATTAAAAATAAGAATAGTAGAGTGATGTGAGCATCACAACAGAATGAGAAAACTTCTTGGTTTCTCTCCTTGGACAACTATAATTCAACAAATGATTCTATGCTCAACACACAAACACGTTTGAGAGATACACACATTGAGACATCTGAAGGCGAGGAGGAAGGACAGAGATGGGGAGCCCCAGACACAGTCCTGCACTGGCCTCAGCCCCAGTTGACATGGTAGCATGGAGGGTTGGGTTGAAGCCCTCACTCAGCAGCCCAGAGAAGGGCATAGGCAGCATTCTGGTCTGAGTGTCTAGTACACATTGCGATTGAGGCCAGTGACAGAGGAGGAGATGCAGTACAAAAGTGTGACAGCCTCAGTCTGAGAGAAAAAAACAAAGATGCAGACATGCAAATCCACCTCCCAACTCTAGCTGACATGGTAGCAGTGGAGGTGTTGGGTTGTAGCCCTCAACTGGCAGTCCAGAGAAGGACGACACAAGCATCATTCGGGCCTGAGTGGCTGATGCACGTTGCAGGTAGTCCTAGTGGAAAAAATAAAGTTGCAGTGCATGAACTCACTACTCCCTAACCCATCACAGGAAAGCCTGATAGAGGCAACTGAGACACCTAAGATAGTATAGTGTGGTTTGGATGCAGGAAGAGAGCACTAGGAACTCACATGCCTGGAGCCCCATCACCTACCGTATCCAACCATGGGGGTGCTACAGTAAGAATGAGGAGACACCCACATCTTCAGGGAATATGGGGCATTTTCCACAGATGATGCGATGCCACCCCACTGATGTCTCTGACTGTGTAGATAAAAGAAAAACCTCTACTTACCAACCTGCTAAATTATTAAAGCAAAACAGTACCTAAAGAAGATTTCAATATCTCAAATGACCATACAGAGAAATAATCCATCAAGTACCATGAAAAACCAAGGTAGTCCAGAAAGAAAACAAAAAGTCTCCAGAAAACAAACTCAGAGACATAGAAGACTTGATTTAAATGACAGAAAATTTAAGAATGCAGTTCTGAAAAATCTCAACAAGATATAAGAAAAATCAGAAAGGCAGTTCAACAAGTTCAGGAATAAAATTAATGAACAAAGAAGTACTTTACCAAAAGATTGAAACTAAAAGAAGAACCAAACAAATTCTGGAACTGAAAGACTCAATAAATTAGATGATGAATGAATTAGAGAGCTTAAGAAATAAAGACTGATTAGAAGAAAGAATCAGTGATCTTGAAGACAAAAATCTAGAAATGACTCATGTGGAAGTAAAGTGAATTGAGTTTAAAAAATTGCAAACTCTGTAAGACCTACCTGACTCCATTAGAACAATATAAGAATAATGGGAATATCAGAAGGAGAAAAGGAGCAAAGAACCCATTCAAACAAATAATTGATGAGAACTTCTCAAACCTATGAAAAGAACTGATCCCTCAAATCCAAGAAGTAACAAAACACCTAATTATCTGAATATAAGGAGACCTTCTCTAAGACACATTATATTAAAATTGTCTAAAGTAAATGACAAAGAATTCTCAAAGCAACCAAGGGAAAAAAGACTAACCTATAAAGGGGAACCCACTGGATTATTAGAGTTTTTAGCATAACTTTTACAAGCTAGGAGAGACTGGACTCAAATATGTAAATATTTAAAGAGAGAAATCACCAGCCAAGAATAATATACCCAGTAAAGTTATCCTTTAGATATGACCTATAAAGGCTTTCCCAGACAAAAGCTGAGGGAATTTATCACCACAAGATCTGCATTACAACAAATATTAAAAGGAGCTCTTCTACCTGAAATAAAAATATGAAAAGATACAAAATTGTGAATATGATAACAAACACAGAGAGAAGTAGGAAATTGCAACTCTTTCAGAAAGGAGTATTAAACTCTTAATTAAAACATAAAAGTTAAAGGGGGAAAGCATTTAAAAAAGACTATAGCTTCTGCAATTTGGAAATAAATGCACAGCATAAAAAGGGATAATTTGTGACAACATAAAAGACATGGGGGAAAAGGACTGAACTTGCACATGTGAATAGAGATAAGATGTACTCAGAAGATAAAGAACTACTCTGCATCTAGAACTTTTTATTACATAAACCTAATAGCAACAACAAAACAAAAATCTAGATAAGAGACACATAAAAAAAAGAAATGAAGAGGAAAAAAATCATAGAATATCACTGAACTAAAATAGCAGAGAGAAACACAAGAGACAAAGGAAACAATGGAGAGAGAGCAATCAGAAAGCACTAGACAAAATGGCTGTAAGTTCTCATATATCAATAATTACCCTAAATGTAAATAGACTGAACTCACCAACCAAAAGGCACAGAGTAATGGGATGTATAGCATGGAGAATATAGTCAGTAATATTGGAATAACTATGGTATCAGATGGGTACTAAATTTATTGGGGTAATCGCTTTTTAAATTACATAAATGTCCAACCATTATGTTATATACCTGAAACTAATATTGTATGTCAACTGTAATTGAAAAATAAAAAATTATTTAAAAAATGTTTTAGACAGAGACTTTTTTTTAATGATAAAGGGGACGATTTTCAAGAAGAAATAACATGTAGGTTTATATGTATGTATGGGTGCTCTCCTGATAGCTGTGTGTGTGTGTGTGTATCTATATATCTATATATCTATATGAAATTACTTACAGATCTAAAGGGAGAGACAGACAAAAATGCAATTATTGTAAGTGATATGAATATTTCATTGACAGCCATGGATAGATCATCCAAACAGAAAGTAAATAAGGAAATATCAGCCTTTATGTCCATGTGGTTTAATGTGTCATTTATCAATTTTTACAGAGCTTTGCATCCCAAAACGATAGAACATAAATTTTTCTCAAGTGTGCATGGATCATTCTGAAGGATAGATCATATGTTGGAGCACAAAATTAGTCTCAGTAAAATTAAGATTAAAATAATACCAATTATATTTCTGACCACAAAATATCAAACTGGAAATTAACTATCAAAAGAAAGCTGGAAAAAAACACAAATATGTGGAGATTAAACAACATTCTATTGAACAACTACTGAGTCAAAGACAAGATCAAAAGACACATAGAGATAAATGAAAATGACAATACGACATATCAAAATTTGGAGTATGTGGCAAAAGTGGTACTAAGAGGGAAGTTTATAGCATTACGAGCCTACCTCAAGAAACAAGAAAAATCTCAAACAATTTAACATTTCACCTTAAAGAACTAAGGGAAAAAAAAGAAGCCAAAGTCAGTAGAAGGAAGAAAATAAAAATTAGAGCAGAATTAAGTGCAATACAGAACATAAAGTCAACAAAGTCGTGATTAAACAAAGATGTGATTGTTTGAAAAGATAAAATTGACAAACCTCTGGCTGGAGTCACTAAGGAAAAGAGAGAAAAGACTGAAATAATATCACAAATGGAAGAGATGTTACAACGGACACAACAGAAATACAAAGAATTATACAAGAATACTATGAAAGGCCATTAGCCACCAAATTCAATAATATAGAAGAAATAGACAAAATCTTAGAAATTTATAACC